GCAGTCAATCCGGCTGAAAACCTTTTTAAAGCTAACATCTCTGCACTGTTACCAGTGCTGTGGAATGAGTTTTGGTCAGAGGAGGCATCGACAGCACCTCTCCACATTAAGCCACATTTTGGAGAATATTATTACAGCAAAAATATTTGAAAAATGTTACATACTGTAGCTGTAAGTATAAATACTTGAAGAATCTACAAGAAACTACCTCCCAAATTTGCAGCATGAAGAGTCAGCAGTGCAATTATCCAAAATCCTATGAGGCCTCCAGCTGAATTCATTGCTGTATGGTGGTGTGATGGGAACTGAACTTTGAAATACTTCCCAGCAAGTATTCAGACAGGATCAACAACAGGCTTATATGGGAGAGGGGAGTACGTCTGGGGGCGTGAAATGCTTGGAGGTGTGGGTGGAAGGGGTGAGGGGAAGTTGTTATGTGGAGCTAAAACCATGTTGTGAGCTGTCAAGATAAATAAAATGAGTTTCAACTTTGGTGATATCTTCTGGTGTGTGCAATGAGCAAAACCATTCTTACAAGTTCCCAAAGTCAGTCTTAAAGTCTACCTAAAGCCAGTGCTGATTCTTTTCTTGACAAATATCAGAAATCCAACTTCCATGTGCAACCAACAAGTTCAATATGGTAGAAATTTTTAACTGGAAAATGAGCCAAAAAGTGGGCAACAGCTCACCACCATGTTTAATGAGCTTAATTGTACACAGCAGTAATTTAATGTCAAATATGCATACAAAACTTTCTGTATCAAATTTCATGCTAATAACTGAATCAGTTATCACATAAGTACTTTCATGTGAGCAGTTTGCTTGAGGTGTGCTAAACAGAGTGTGTGAGAAATATGGCACAGAGTACGTTTATCAGAACCATTCACTATTTTTCCCAAAGCTTAAATGACCTTTTGATAAACTCCCTCAAGTCCCATTTACAACAACTACTCCACATCTCCTCTCATGTTGTTTTGAATTGCTACAGTGCATGTACCTGGAAGGAAGGACTCCCTCAAACATCAATGAATCTCACAGGCTTAAAGTCAAACAATTATCATGAAATTATTTTTTCTGTTTGCACTGTACTGTTTAAAGAGGGGTTGATAGATGGATGGGATATTAGAAACACCTTTTTCTTTGTTTAAAATGTTTTATGAGTTTGTTTCAGTGTTAAGAACAAGTGTCCATCAGCATGTGATTAGTCTGTTTTGTATTTCAGGCATTTTTTGGGGTGTGGCTTCAGATATATATATGTACACTACTCTTCATATGTAACATTATCATAAATGCAATCTGCAAATATCAAAAAGTGACTCATTAGTATTTGCTTTTGATATCAAAGGTTCTTAGACAGTAGAGATTATTATTCATTTGTTCCCTCACACTCTGCTAATTTAGCTACAAACTGGATTTAAATTTCTGTTAGCTATAAATGTTTGATATTTGGAAAAAATCCTATCCCAGTCAGGGTGTAATAAAGTCATGTGGTGTTCTTCTATGATAAATATGCATGACAGAAGTCTATTAGTTTCATCTAAATGGTCTGAACACAAAGCTAAGGCATTTTCCCCCCTGAGTGATAGATGTCCAAGTGCCAAGGAAACATTTTTCAATAATAATTAGTCATTTGGTGACTTGGCATCTGTGCAGGTATGGCACCTTGTCCCAATTGGCTTTCCTTGTATCACCAACGCAGATAAAAAGATCACATTTGAGATGTCATGTACCCAGATCCCTGGTTTTCTGGTTCAGATAAGATTGATTTGCAGGTATTATTGATTTATTGATTATTTTAAAGTTAGCGGCAAGATTAATTACCTGAAACATCTAAAAAATCATCAAATGGCAAATCTGTAATCTTTAACATCGTACAGTGATTTTAGGACAAGCATGTAGTTTATCACAGTATTTCTCAGACTTGATTATGCTCCTATGAAAACCTCATGCCAATGAGATTTGTCAGTCTATGAGTTGGAATTAAAAGTATGAAAAGGTGAAAACTCCAGCAACACTTGTAAAGAACAGCTTTATACACATTTTTTGCAGGAGTGTTCAGACTTTTACCTTCTAAGTGCACCGACTCTAATGCTAGTACCTTCTCTGCTGTGGCTGTCTGATGGACTGTGGGCCTCTAGGAACAAGGCAAGAATAGGATTATTTTAGAAGTATGTTCAAAATAATTACAAGAAGTTGTCTTGATTGACTTTATAAAAAAGTAGATGTCCTTATTACAGAACAGAGCTGACCTGCAGAAATATACTTTGGCACCCTTCTTCTGGCAAGCAGCTGTGTATGCAGTGAAAGTCTTGCTCTGTATGTTCCTGCTGCCCTCATAAAGAGAGACATCATAAATGCAGTCATTAAGGAAACCTGTGGGGTCGACCTTGGAGTGGTAATCACAGAACAGCCCTGCAGGGTTGCTGATGAGGCCGCAGAAGCTGGTGGTGCTGTACAGTACTTTCTGAGTGTTGTTATAGCTAGGGCAGGGGATACTGCAACCATCAACGCAGCAGGGGATTGTGGAGACTTTCCAGCTTTGACCGAAGGCCTCAGACAGGGCAGCTTGTTTCTCATCTTTCATCTGCATGTCCTCTGTGAGGTTGTGGTTGTAATTGCCACAAAAACCTTGCATTATGCCCTTGTAAGTACTGAGAATGATTACAAATGCTACATTGCTCCAGTTATATACCTTCACTCCAGTCTGTCTGAATTACACAAAACCAGCCACTTGTGTAAAGATGGAGGTTATTGTTTTTCAGCATCATAGGCAGGTTGGAGAGCTCACTGTTGACCTTAAAAAGGCAATGAAACAGAAAATGGCCCATAAAGTAATGTGTACATTTGTAGAAGAACACATAGAATCAGAAAGTGCAGTCAATCAATCACTTGTTCAGTTTAGCAACATCTGAATCAGGATCTGTTGGCAGGTGTGAGGTTGGCCCCACCATCACTGAAATCTGATCAAACCACACCCTGAGAATTAGGAATTTGTTTATTCAGTGCATCATATATATATAAATCATTGTTACCTGAGCTGGTTAACAGACAGTCAGGAGTTCAGGTGCTGCATGTAAGAATGACTAAATACTTTTAGACCAATCAGCTTCTAGGTAGCTTTGCATGGCCTTTCCCCACAAGTGAGCAAATGTAGCATCACATGACACATTTTTGTTGTCTTTGCTGATGTGACTGGAAGAAAGAGGTTACCTGGTCACAAAGGGCTTGGTTAGGTAAACAAAACATTAATCAGCTGGCCTTGTAGCTGTTTGTTCACTGCCCACAAAAATAATGGATGGTGTGAGTTGTTTAATTGTAGAATTCTCCTGAGTGGCCTTAATCCTGTTGTGATTATTGTCACAAGGATCAAGTAGAGCTCTTTTCTGCTGTGCTGCGAGTAGTGGCCATATTGTGACATGGTGGGGTAGTTTAACTGTACCACTGGTATGTCCCGTGTAAGGTAAATAAATCAAGGTTTTATCTTATCTTGTAAATCTGTAATAACACATTGGCCACCTTGGGGCAACAGAAACAACCTGTAACCTGCAGAGCAGCTGAATAAGTTGCTCAACCTGCTTGGCTTGTGTAATTCAAAGAGACAGTGAACCTGCTAATAAAGAGAAAGAAAGGCAAACCGAGTGACATATACCTTGTGCTTTGGGGGTAGTTTACTGTATTTCAAGACAAGACCTGTGTGGCAAATTAGTGAGCCGAGAAAGCAGAACTATATTCTGAGAAGAAGGTAAGACAATATAGAGCTCAAAAAGTAGGACATTGAATGTCAAATTACTTTTGTTGTGACACTGTTTGTGGTTTATACACTGCGTATATCCTGTCAACCGGAATTTCTGACATTTTTGTCTCTCTCCCATGGAATCTTTGCTTTAATTTTTTTCTGCATCACAGGAACCCAAACAGCATCAATGCGGTGTCAGACGATTGTGATTGTTTTGAACCTCTTACTATTCTCGGGACTGCTGATGGTTGTTATACACCAACATCGCCTGTTGACCAGGTCAAACAATGAAAGTGGAATGCTGAAAAAGAAGTTAGACGACCTTGATAAGCAAATTGCACAGGAAGATCTCACTAAGGCCGCAATGGAAAATGTGATAGATCAAGGGGATAAAGCAGCGGAGGCTCTAGGGACTGCACTGGCCAAACTCAGAACAGAGATGGACAAGCTGAAAACAGAAAATGATGCCTGTCAAGCAGAAAAGGTGAAACATCTTTTTTCTACATTACTGAATAGTTAAGTAAAAGATCTAAGCAATCCTTATTTCCACTGTAGAGTGGTCCCACTAGTCTTATGGGTTTGTGACTGTGGGGTATCAAGACTGAT